GTTGTACATCTTTTTTTATTCTTAATTTATGTAATGAAAATATTTAATGCATGTTAATATTATTTATTTATGTAATAAATTTAAAATATGTAATAAAATAAAAATTAAATAGTGTATTAATAATTTACAAAATATACACACATGTTTGTTTTTTTAAAAAAATAATTTTGTATACTAATTAAACAACTTTGATTTAGAAAATGACAAAAACTCAATCCCTTCTATAACTTAGATTTTTCTAATTCGCATTATAAATATTTATAGTTTATTTACCATACTCTGGAATGAAATTATGTTTTACAAGAATTTCTTTACAAAAATAAATCAAAATAAAAAAAATGATTAAAAAAATTTATAATGGTTGCCAATAATATACAAATAAATTATAAAAAGCAGTTAATATATTTCAGTTTTAACTTTTTTCCATTAATAAAACTATTAAATGTATCTGATCATTATCTCTTAAATGGTAAATTATATTAATTTGAAGAATTATATTTTTATATACATATATATGATGATCTAAAGCTTAAGAAAAAAGTATATTTATAAAGATTAATTCATCAACTTGATTTCGTATGATTAATTGGAACAAAAAAATTCACCTAGCTTTGTCGTAGACCTCGGTTGTCCGAGGACTAAATTTTTGAGCCCCTTGGTAGGCCAAGGAGCTTCGTCGTACACCTCGGTAGTCCGAGGACTAATGTTTTGAATACCTTGGTAGGCCAAGGAGCTTCGTCATAGACCTCGGTAGTCCGAGGACTAATTTTTTAAACCCCTTGGTAGGCCAAGGAGCTTTGTCGTATCCCGTGGTAGTCCGAGGACTAATTTTTTGAACACCTCGGTAGGCCGAGGAGTTTCTTTGTAGTCTTCGGTCGTCCAAGGGCTAATTTTTTGAAGACTTCGGTAGGCCGAGGAGCTTCTTTGTAGACCTCGGTAGTCCAAGTACTAATTTTTTGGGCACCTTGGTAGGCCAAGGAGCTTCGTCGTAGACCTCAATAGTCCGAGGACTAATTTTTTGAGCACCTTGGTAGGCCAAGGAGCTTCTTTGTAGTCCTTGGTAGTCCGAGGACTAATATTTGGAACACCTCGGTAGGCCGAGGATCTTTTTTGTAGTCCCCGGTAGTCGGAGGACTAATTTTGTAAACACCTCGGTAGGCAGAGGGTCTTCTTTGTGGGGACCCCCGTACTCCGAGGATAAATATTTTAACACCTCAAGACATCTTAGGAGACAC